GACTTAGGGGTCTTCTACAAAGGACGGCAGAATTTAAATACTAGCCAGAAGTAAAAGTTTATTGGCTCTCTACCGCGGAGAATTTTATTGAACATAAAGCGCTTTAATACTCTGAAATCTCTTTGCACGAAAGCCAACATTCTCCGACTTCTTGCCATTAGTTAAACTTTGCTTTTCTGAATGACCCCTTAATAGTTTCTTTGTAAACATCGGGAAAAAAGTAGTACAAAACAAAATGATTTTGTAATGAAACTTGTCAGAACTTTTTCTCAATGAGCTTCATTTAACTTTTAAGATGATTCAAACAAACAGAAGTGCAGGTCTTGGCAATGTTAGTGCGAATTTTATGAAAGTTATCTTATCAAATATTATTGAATTACTCTTTTCATTATCTTTAAACTTTTTTTGAAAAATGGAGCCTTTTCTAATTTAAATTTTCAAAAATATTTCCTATTAATAAAAATAGTGATGATTCTATAAAAACTAACTACAGATCCATCTCAATAACTTTCTGTTTTTCAAAGCTTCTTGAGTGTGTAATGCACAATAGAATATACAGCTACTTTGAAAAAAAAAAACTTTATACCATTAGCATTTGGTTTTCAAAAAAGTGGTTGCACTGAACAAAACTTAACTAGTACACAGCTAGAAGCTATTAATTGTGGTGTCCCACAGGGCTCAACACATGGTCTTCTGCTGTTTCTTACATATATAAATAATATCTATTTATCCTTCAAACTCCTTAATTTTTTGTTTTTGGTGGATGATATTAATTTTTTTTTTCTGTTAATAATTTAAATTTTTTTTTTTTTTAACTGTTAACACTGAACTAATAAATCTCAACGACTAATTTAAAGCTAATAAACTTTTTTAAAATAATGATAAAATAATATTCCTTTAAAATCTAATATCTTACCTTATGAAGGGTAATTTTTAATGCATATAAATATGCATATATAAGGTCTTTCGTTTTTTTCTTCTTTATTACAATATTCAAGATAAGAATACAAACCCATAAAACAAAAATAAATTTCAAGTGAACGTATTGTTAAAAAAATTACATTTAAAAAATCCTGTTAAAATACGGATATTCCAAAAAGACCACCAGGTCATGTCACAGAGTACCAGTATACTAAAAGAAATAAGTTTTAAGCATATACTAAACAACTATCAAAATTTAATGTACATTTTGAAACTTTATAAAAACATGCTTCCAACATATATTCCATCACATTTCTCTTGAATTAATCACTTATACTTAATAAAACATTGCATTGGCAACTTTTATATTCAATAAATTTAACTTAAAAAACCAGACTACTTGATTACTTATTGACCTCCGTCTGTGAAACTCAATCCTGAATGACAACTTAAAAAATGTAACCTCAATTAAATCATTTAAAAGAACAGTGGAACAACATTTTTTAAATCTATCCAATAAATAATTGGGGAGGGGGGGAGGGGGTGTATTATAACTCGTATTTATGTGTTTCAGGCGCGGATGCAGCATTTTTTGATGTTTGAGATACCTAACTTCCAGACATGGAGCAAACTCCAAAATTTTTTATGTTTATACTTATATCAAATAAAGATGCTTTGCAAAAAATTGCAATGATTGGAGCCTGGGAATAAAAAAGCCCTAAAATTTTAGCTACACATGCCCCAAACGTTATATTCATCAAAAAATTTGAAGACACATAAAAATCTTTTAGTGTTTTAATGAACATAAAAAAATTGAACCCCCTCAATTTTTTTATGAGGGGGTTGAACGCTCAGAGATTATTGTGTAAGTTTTGAAATTTATCGATGAATATAAACTTGGTTGAAAATAGTCAAAAAAATATTTTATCAACTTGTTGCTCGTTTGGGGCAGGTGGAGCTAAAATATTAGGGCTTTTTTGTTCCCAGGCTCCGCATCTGTGCATCCACGCCTGTGTTTATTTGTACCTCTTGAATATATAATAACTACTTTTACGTTTATAAATTTAATGAACTTAAATATAAAATTTATAGAAAAATGTACTTTGAATAAATAAATCGTTTCGATAACGAAAGTCTTTTGCTTGCTCGTATTGGAAGGTAAAGAATTTTTTTTCAAAAATATTGTCAATTATTTGTTTATTGACGAATTAAATATAATGAAAAAAAAAAAAAGTTATGTATATTAGTTTGTTTCTAAAACTCAAAATTTCTTTTTATTTGCTCCTTATTAAATTTAAAACTTCCTATTTAAACGAATCTATAAACAGCTTTGTTTACATCTACGTATGTTAAGGGTAAATCCCTATTTTTCTTATTTAAATATCCTTTAAAGCTTATTTCACGAATTAGCTGTAAAGGAATCCTTTGATAAAGAATATTTAATATCATGCTATAAGATTTAAAATATATTTAAAATATGAATTTAATTAGCTATAGATTTTTTTTAGGTAAATAAAAATCACTTATTGTCGAGACCTAATTTTAAAATAAAAAAAAATAAAAAAGTTTAAAACTCAAACCAAAAACTAAAATCGAGTGAGTTTAAAATGCGAATCAAGTAAGTTTAAAACTCACTTATTTTATTTATTAATAAAAAATAATAATCAATGTAGTAAAGATAGTTTTCCCCATCACAGGGCCGACGGTGCCTGGGGGCACGTACCCTCCCCCCACTATTTTTTCTAAAGACCCTTAATTTTTTTGTTGAAAAAATTCTAGATATAGAGGAATTTTTTCAGAAATAGAAGATTTTGCCCCTCCTTTTCAAAACCGATTTGTTGTTGTTATTGTAATCATCAACAACAAACGGTTATTGATGATTACAACAACAAACGGTTGTTGTTGTTGTTATCATTATCAATATCATTAGAATAATAAATTATTCTAATGATATTGTTGGCCATGCATCATCATTAGAGTAATTTATTTATTTGCTAAAAAATCTTACCAAGACAAAACAGCGTTAAAAGAAATGTAAAAAATGTGAGAAATACAAAATAATAACTATTAATTTTTTTTTAAATATACACCTTTTCTTCAATTAGACTAAAAAGGAGAAAATATTTTTTTCTTTAGATTTGACCCATTTGAGCTCAATTTATAAAACTGTTCCTTGGAAATTTTAAAGTTTTTACATTTTTAAATATATTGAAACGCAAGAACACTTAAAAGATAAGGCTTTTTTTCCTAAAAACTTCATTATTGTCCTAATTTGTTTGATTTTCTCCTCAGCTAACGAGTAAAAGCTAAAGAACCTTTTTACTGTTTGCTTTGATTATTATATTTTAATTTTAAAACGGCCGTGGCGCTGTGGCTAGAGCGCTTGCTTTATAAGCATGAGATCCAGGTTTGAAACGAGTTTTCGAAATATTTTTGCGTCACGGTAAGGAAGCGTTAACTTCCTAGTTAAATGCACTTCCGCGGTGCTCTGTTACAAGACCGTTAGGTCTTCTTGGGGCACCTAAATAACAAAAAAAAACAAACAAACAAAAAAACAAACAAACAAACAAAAAAAACACACAATTTGTCAATATTTTCAATTTGTTAACAGCTAATCTTTTTTAAATTATCAAATTGGTTTGAGTATGCTTAATGAAACATTATAATATATAAGTTAACTTGATCTAGATAAAATGAGATAAAAATTTAATAAATTATTTCTTGTGATCCAAGTGATATACAGCTTACGGATCGCGTTTATAGAAAATATTAGGCGGATCATATTATGAAAAAAAAATTAGGTCTCAACGATAAGTGGAAGGTACTCAAATAAATCTCTTACTTTGAAAGTAACTTTTGTTGTTGTTATTTGGACCTACTTACAACGCAAATAAGAAACGGTGTAAAAAAAGGCGTAAAAAAAAGTACTTGTGGGTATTTTACAGACAATTTTTTTTGTTTGTTTTTGCGCGCGTATTTTCATTTCTTTAAGCTTTTCGTAAACATCGAAATTAGTATTTACGGTAACCGATTATTCAAAAATAAAATTAAGTTGAATTAAAAACAGATGAAATCAGCAAATAATCATCATCCGATTTTAGTGTTTTCTTCCGAGTTAAAACTTAAAAGTTTTTGTTTGCTAAATAATTTTTGTCCAAAAATTGACAGTCTAATAATAATATGCTCAACTCATATACATATATGAATATATATATATATATATATATATATATATATATATATATATATATATATATATATATATATATATATATATATATATATATATATATATATATATATATATATATATATATATATATATATATATATATAAAATTTGATGGTCTTTAATAATTTTAAAATAAAGTCTTCATTTGTTCCATATGTTAAAAGTGACGCTTCATTTTTGTTGAAAAAATGTTATTCCAATAAATTTCATGTGTAATGATGCAATATTTTTGTTGTTTTAAACTTTTATAACACATGTAGTTTAAGAATAAATTGCTTGCTAGATTACAAGGTTAAATTGCTTACAAAATATCTATATCAACAAATTGCTTGCAAAACACTAGGTTTTTATCATATCTTATTTTTTTTTAAAACTAAAATTGTAAGTTAAAACAACAAAATAAAAAACTGTTATTATAATTATCAAATATTTATCTAATATCTATCTCTAAATAGGTAATAAATATTATCAACTTAAAAATAGTCAGTTTTAGAAAATTTCTATTTTTTGTTTTTTATTAAAATTTTTATTAAGCAAATAAAAAAGTTATTAATGTAGATCATATAGCAATAAAGTTAACAGTAGAACCTGGTAATAATTTAGAATTTTTTTCTTAATGAAAAGTGTTACCAAATTTTTGCATTTTTAGATAATTATTTAATGTTTTTATGTTGTTATTTAAATGTTTATTATATTTAATGTATCATATTTTATTTGTGTTTTTAAGTTTCATTAAAAGTAGTCGTATATTTTTTATGAAATTATAGCTTATTAGTATATGTTTAATATATTTGAATAGTTATATTTAACTGAATTATTTATATTTTAGTATTTAGTTATATGGTATTATAATGTTTTGTATTATAGTGCAAATAAAATAGTTTATTCTATAAATGAACAGATTCATGCTAATGCATATCATACCAATGTAGAAATAGTTGCTTAAACTTCAAAGAAAGAACGAAAAACGGTAATTCAGAGATAATCAACTTATTTTTTTTTATGTATTGTATTTTTATATACAGAGAATCGATTTATTTTACAGGATAAGTTACTAAATAAGTTTTTTTAAGTGACTAATATAATACTGTTTGCTAATAAATTATCATTATCTAATAAATATTTACTTTTAAAAGGATATTTACAATAAAAATACTTAAAAAATGTGAAGTAAATCCTAAATCTTTTCCTTTTTTTAAGCATGCAATGAAATCCAATTTAAAAGTGCTAATAGTAGCTAGTCACATTTTACATGTTTTAAGAAAAATAAAGACAAAAAAATCAGACAAAGTATTTTATCTCAGAATTTTTGTATTTGTAAATAAAGATAATGAACAGTATTTTTAATATACTAACATAATTAGATTTGTACCTTATTTATAAATATTCTTTATAAATCATCCAAACATGATATTATTTATAAATCATCCAAACATGAATGTTATTATTTATAATATGTAAGTTTTATTACCAATCTACCAAATTAAACAATCTATATATTTTCTGATGAAAATTGAATTATTTTTCTTTTCCAAACTAAGGAAGTAAATATACTAATTACACTTTGCTATTGTTCAACATAATTACATTATTTAAAATGCATTTGTTGAGTTTAGCTCTGAGGGCATCCATCAAGTATGCAGTAAAACCACTGATTTAGCCTCCCTCCTCTTGTTCTCATGTGTATATTTTCAATGACCCCACTCTGCTTATATATACGTTATTTATTACAAAATCTTTTTCCCAATCTAAAGTTTTTCAGAACATTTAAAATAATTTATTTTTTAGATAATTCTACATTTCTCTGTTACTTAATATAAAATTGATTTTTTAAACTTATGAAGTTTAATACTTCTGTTTTATAAAAAGAAATCAAGTTTGATAAAAGATAAAGAACTACAAAAATTCGAAACGCATACACACTCGCTGTCTTTAAACCCCTCCCCCTTGTGTGCTTTTATATGTTTTTGAATAACCCCTCTCTTATATCAAAAGGTAGTTGATTCCACTAGTGTCTAAGCTAAAAACTCTTTATTTAGAAATTATATATCACTTGATAAGAGAAGCTATCAACTGCAAGTTGATAGCTTCTCTGCAAAACTTTTTTGATTAAATGTACTTTTAATTAAATGTAATTTTATTGATGTTGATATATTTGAATTAAATTTCCTGGATTTTGTCCTATAAGGACAAATATAGCGAGGCTCAAATTATCTACTTTTTTCTAAAACATATATTTTTTAGTAGCAATGTAAATTGAGTAGTACAATGCTAAACCTTTTCTAATATAATTATGTTCTTGAAATATATCCACACAAAAAGCCAACCTTATTAACAGCCTAACATTTATTTATAATTTTGAGTAATTCACTGCTAAAGTTTAGATGTTTACCTTTTTTTTGATAAACACTTTTTTTTGTTTTACTGGTTCATAAAGTTGTTTAATTTTTTTATTTTAAATTAGAGTTTTTTTTATTTTTCCATTTTTGCAGTAATGTATATTTAAACATTTCTTAAAATTTAATTTTTCTTCAAATTTTGATTATCATCTGCATACATATTTGAAATATAAAAATATCAGGTTTTTCCTATAGTTATTCTAGCTCTAGCTGCTAATTTTTAGAAATAAGTCTTTTTTAACCATGTGCTAGAAATTCTATAGTCTTTAAGTTTTATCAGTAATATTTTATGAATCAAAAGCTTTTGTGTACTCTGAATAAATAGGCCGGGTGAATAAAAATGAGCTAATACTCAGTAATTGGTCAGTTTTACATGAATAAAAACTTTAACTGTTTTGCTTAAGTTTTTATTCACGTAAAGCTGAACAGTTCTGAGTAAATTGTTTAACTTTATGTGAATAAAAGTTAGAGAAAAACTGCTAACGTTTTTCTTCATGTAAAGCTGACCAATTACTGATTAAAAGCAATTGCTCATTTTTATTCACCCGGTCTAATGTCTGTAGGTTTATCCTATAACAAATAAGGTGAAACTATGTCTACTGTTTCATAAAGATTTGTTACACAAGATTTTTCTTAAGAAAGTCATGATATATTAAAAAAAAGTTATTTTGATTAAAGAAATTCATGACTCAATCCAGCACAACGCAAAAGTAAATAATCAAACAGAAAATTAAATCAATAAGTCAGCAGCTACAGTTTGATTTCTATAGTTGACTACCTTTTAGTCTGCAGCAGCAGGCTACTTCAGTGTGGTGTCAGACATGTTATCTAAACGCGCATTGATATATATATATATATATATATATATATATATATATATATATATATATATATATATATATATATATATATATATATATATATATATATATAACTATCATGCATTCTTCTCAGTTTGAAGTTTAATGCCAGCGCACAAAAAAGGTATTGATTGGATGGTCATTTTTAAGCTGTTATGTGCAATTTTAAAAATTAATCTTTATTTGCTATTTAAATTAAAATAAAACACAGTGAAAAGAATGCTTTAAATAAATTCTAAATGAAATAATTCAAATAAAAATAACAAAATAAACGTTTTATTAAGGTTCTAAATAAAATAGTTAAAATGAAACCGTAAATAAATTAAAAAAAAAATGTTTTAAATAATTATTAAACAAAATAATAAAAGAGCCAACGGAAAGACAAACATTTTTTAAAATTCAGAATAAAATAATTAAAAACATCAAGATAAAAATTTTATTCAAGTTCTAAATTAAAATAGTTAAAGTATGAAATGTAAAAAAAAATTATTTAAATTCTATATAAAATGATTACATTAAAAATGGCAAAATGAATGTTATATTTGATACAGATATTGATATAAGATAATTAAAATAAAAATTATTAATGGAGATACTCCCAAAATAAAAAGTATATTAATTTTATGCTTTTATTTTCTCTGGTTTATTCTTTATTTTATCATTTTTAAGTTTGTTTCTCTTTTCAATTTATTGTATTTTGAAACAAGAGTATATATATGTATGTATATATATATATATATATATATATATATATATATATATATATATATATATATATATATATATATATATATATATATATATATATATATATATATAAATATATATATATATATATATATATATATATATATATATATATATATATACATATATATATATATATATATATATATATATATATATATATATATATATATATATATATATATATATATATATATATGTATATATATACATATATATATATACATATATATATATATTTTTATATTTAGTGTTTTGAAAAATACTAAAAAGTTTCAAAAACAAAGAACGCAAAACTAACAAAATAGGAAATTAAAATAAATTTAAATAGAATAAAAATTAATAATTTAAGTAAATTGTGTGATGTTTTTATTTTTGTTTCTTTAGAGTGGTTGTTATTTTCAGCAATAAAATTGGATAAGGCAAAGTAAAAAAAAAAAAACAGTTCAAGTCGAAATTAAAAAGAATGATTTTCTTATATTTTATTTTTTTCAAAAAGGAAAATGAAAGTATAAATTGCTATCGTTTGTAAAATATACTTGTAAAGTATAATTTTAATGTAAAAAGTATATACAGAATGGCCACTTGTCATGGAAATTATGGAAATGGTATGGAATTTTATTTGGCCATGGAAAAAGTAATGGAATTCCTAAATTTTAATTGAAAGTCAGGGAAAATTCATGGAGCTTTTTAAAATGATCTTTATTTTTTTCTACTTGTGATATTTTTAGGGTGCAAAGAAAAGTACTTGTATGTCTAGTCTAAGTCCTTTTTAAAAAATATATTTTTGCAATGTAAGTTATTAGAGAAGTAAAAAAAAATAAGAGTTTTTTTCAGACATGATTTTAGAACTTTCTACCATTTAGTTTTTGGTTTGCATGTTTTTTAATGACCAAGTTGCAAATGCTTTGAGCATGGCAACTACTGAGTATTTTACTTAAGTGATTTTTTATAAAAGTTTATGAAGAGTCATGGAAAAGTCATGAAATTTCATTTATAAATATGTATATTTTGTCCCTATATAAAAATGTCTATTTAATGCATGCATATACTTTTATGTATAACTTTTTTATTATATAATTATGTTTATTTGTTTATAAGTATATGCACATTTAGCTTATTTGGATAAATTTGGATATATTTATAGAAAGGTTTTAATACATATGTTTTAGAAAATATGTCATTATCTGGTTCATCAAGACCAAAAGCTACAAATCTTGAACAAATATGGGATGATTTAAAAGAAGGAATTCAACAAATTTATTTAAAACAAAATATGCCTAAGCCTCGCTATATGCAGCTTTATACGTATCTTTTTATTATACTGTAATAAATTTTATACTTGTTTAATTGCATTTACAAAATAAGTTGTATTTTTTGTTATTGTAGGGTAAGTTTGCATTTTTACTATTTTAAGTCCGTCACCTTTACATAAATTTTATTTAAACAAAAAAATTTAAGAAATACCATAATGTAAAAGCAGATTGATATAGTGTACGACTACATCTATCAGAACATTTATAAAAATGTTTTTGTTTTATTGTATTTTTGTGAGGTAAAAGAGTTTTTTGGTGCATTTTGGTAATTTTGGTCATTTTTTCTTTTTAATAAATTTAATATTGACCTAAATTGAAAATAACAGAAGCATTTAAAGATCTAACACAACAGCTAGCATCATAGTCAATATTGAATATATCATTGACTGCACACGGTTCATTAATTTCTTCAACACCAATGTCAAATATTTCAGTTGAATATTATAGCAAAACACACATTTCAGTTAAAGATCTGTGTTGAAATTATTTTTGTAACAAATTAATGACTAAAATAATGATAAACAT